AGAGATATGTTCAATTTTGGGTGTTGAGGATTCTCCAGACCTAAGAACATATCTTGGTTTGCCTATTATTTGGGGAAGATGAAAAGCTACAGCATTAGCTAGTATACGTGAATGAGTAGGAAAGAAGATATAAGGATGGAAACACAATACACCATTTAAAGTAGGTAGAGAGGTTTTCATTAAATATGTTGCAAATTCCATCCATATTTACCTCACATTAGTGTTTAAATTTTCTAAAAAAGCTTGTGCTGAGCTTGATAGCTTTGTTGCTAATTTATGGTGGGGTAGTAGTAAAAATAGCAGCAAAATCCATTGGAAAAGATGGAAAGATATGTCTAAACTAAAAAAGGTTAGGGCCATGGGTTTTAAGGACTTTGAGGACTTCAATTTAGCTTTATTGGCTAAGAATGCTTGGTGTGTCTTGCATAATCCAGATGATCTTTGGGTTAAGGTTTTAAAGAGTGTTTATTTTAAGAATACTAATTTTCTACAAGTTAAGAAGGATTCACATGCATCTTGGGGTTAGTTAGGTCTATTGGAAGGCCCTAATCTGTTACAAAAATATTTGTTATAGGAAATAGGGGATAGCATTAATGTTAAAGTCTTTTTAGACCTATGGATTTATAGTTTACCAGGCTTTATAGTAAATGTTGAAATTTTAACTGATGATGAGAAGAAGATGACAATTGATCAGATTATTATGGACAGTTAGTGGAATCTAGACAAGGTGAGAGCAAGGTCTTATCTAATAAGATTGCAGAAATTTTTAAAAGCCCTAATTTATGGTAATGGTAGAAAGGATAAAGTTGTCTGGCTAGAATCAAAAGATGATATTTATTTTGTTAAATCAAGATATAAGGCAGTGAGAAGAGAATGACATTTAGAAACCTTACTTGATCCCTATCATTTGTGGAGGCCTCTTGAAGCTCTTTGGAGAGTAATTTGGGATATGCAAGTTCCTTTAAAGATTAAATATTTTCCTTAGCATCTCTATACTGGTTCATTAGCAACTAAGGAAGATTTATACAAACATAAGTGCCCTCCAACCAACATGTATCCAATCTTCATTTTGTTGAACAATTGCAAGAACATCTCTTTCTTTATTATAACTAGGCTAAGGCTGTCTAGTTTGTCTCTTAATTGGCATTAAATGTTTATTACTTGATATTAGTGAGACTTGAGAAATGAATGTGGGAGACTATTCTTTGTGATACGAAACTGAAAGAATATGATAAGACTTGCTGTGCTTTTACTCTCTAGTATATTTAGAAATTTAGATGTAATTATATCTTCCAAAATGTTCCACTAAATTCATGATCAATGATTTTGCTTGTTGAAACAGCTCTTAAGAGTTATTGTCTATTGACGAGCAGACATGAATTCCCTTGTCTCCTCCAAATAGCATTATGGTTCCCATGTCTCAACCTTCACGATGGCTCCCACCAAAATAGGGATCTTTGAAATTTAATATGGACAACTTTCTTCTTATGAATGGGTCATCTACTAGAATTAGGATTGTGTGTAAAGATTTCAAGGGAAATTGGATAAATGGTTGGTCTTTACTTATTAAAGCTAGATTTGTAATGAAAGTGGAATCTATGGCTATCAAGGATTAAGCTTTTGGAAATGGCAGGTCTTGTGGATGCAGCTATTGACATAGATAACATCACCATTTTTAATGTTGTTTCTTCTTATTGTTCACGCAGTTGTGATTGGAAAAGCTTTCAAGCCCTGCTAGATATTTTTTATCTTAATAAAAAGTTGAGTTGGATTTCATTCTCCTCTGTGAATAGATCTGCCAATAGAGCTACAAATTTTTTAACAACCTTCACCTCAAAGAAGATGTGTCCTCCAGGGCATCTTCAACTGCCTCCATCCTCTATCATGGCTGTTTTGTTTGAAGACATATTGGGTTTGAAAGCTACTGAAGAAGCACGTGCTAGTGTTGGATGATTTATTTGCTTTATTATCTTGACTTGTTTGACTCTTTTTTTGTCATTTTGTGCTTGTTTCCTTGAACTTAAGGCCGTATAGAAGTCCTTCAATTTTGTTCGACCCAGCCTAACGTGAAAAAGATCGATCCTATTAAAAATTGATCCTTTAGAATTGAAAGGACTAAAAAGACTAAAAAACCATATTGTTTCTTTGGGTTGGACTGGGTAGGAGACTGGGCATCTAGTCCACTTGGTCCAGTCTGGTCCTATTAAATTTATTTAGTATGATTATGATTAATTTAGTAATTATTAATAATAATACGTTAAGACTATTAATAATTTAATAAGTCCAGATCCTCGCACGGTTGCATGTTCAAACTAATAATTTAATAATCTGGACCACTTGAACTATAATTGAAATACTTTTTTCTTGTAGTTAGAAATTATTATGAATTTTTTTATGATTATGAGTGTTTTTATTATCTTAATTGAGTTTATTAAGTTGAAATGAATTATTGCCTTTTATAGAGAAAAAAAGGAAAAAAAACTATGTGAGTACTGAATTAACAAAACTAGTCTGTCAATCTTATGGACCAAGTTCGGTCATGTTAATTTTTAGCCTATCACTGAATCAGATCGAACTATGAGTTGTCTAAGTCAGTTCTTTTCATAAAGGAGACCAGACATCGGGTTAGGCTGAAGTCGAGTCCTGCTCAATCTTTTGTGCAACCCTACTTGAACATTTATTTTCAATGAAATGAATGATCTCTAGGCCAAAAAAATAATAATAATAGCTTGATTATTTTATTTTAAGAGTCTTGGCTATGAAAAATAGTATGGAATGTGTAGTAAGAATAAAATAGTAATTTTGTTAAAAATATGTTTCTTATATTCGAAAAATATAATACTCATAATTACTATTACATAATAGTATCATTAGTAAAATTGAAGTATTATATAATTCAATTTCATTTTTTTCTTTTAATTCATTTTAACCAAACCGGACATTTAACCCAAAAAAGAAAAAAAACTAACCGGACATAAAAGTTATGATATATATATATATATATATATATATTGAAAAAGTAATGATATCTTAATTGTGAATGACAATGCGCCAATCGTCAACATAAAATGAATAAATGAACGACATCAATTAGCCATGCACGTCGTAATTACTTGTTGCATTTTTATGGTTTAATTTGTTCAGACAACACGAATAATTGACTTTTGAATTGTGAACGCTTTTTAGTGCCTTTGTACGTTTCATTTATGACTGTAATAAAAAAAATCCATTATTGGCAATTTTTCTTTTATAAAAAATAGTCAACTCTGCTGTATGAAAATTCCATGAGACTTCATGATTCGTGTGGCTTATTAAACACTAATCAAGTGTAACACTGCTACGTGATTTTATATTTGTATACTCTCACCCAATTGTACTTTTGCCATTTTTTTTTATTTGTAGACTCTCACCTAACTAATGCTTCCTTTTTTATCAAAGTGTTCGTTTTGGATGCTTGTTTGCATTTCTACAACTAGAACATTATCATGATGTTATTATCATGTGAAATTAGTGCGAATAAAATAAGATAAAAAATATGGATGTTGATATATGGCTGTCATTTGTGCAAAAATATTGGTCGATAACAATTGTTTTTCAATCATGGCCCTTGTCTCTACAGATTACAGTGACCGATGGTCGTTCTAGTGGTGGCTGACGGTGGTTTTTAGGGTGGCTATGGCTGTTTAGGTGCTGGCTGGGGTTTGTTGGGAAAAGGGTACCTCGGTCATTTCCTATTATTCATAAATATATCAATTTAAATGCAAAGTAATATAATACATGCTTCCAAACTTCAAAAACATTTAAAGAACGACTTATAAATTTCAGCAAATGGGAAAATTTCTTACCCAAACTTTGTTGACCGCTCTTCTTTGAATTTCTAAAGGTACCATTGCATTTGTTTAAGCTGGCATCACACTTATTCATTTAGTTAGGAGAATATTTAAAAGATTAAATTACATACTCTCTTTATTAAAAAATATAAAATTTTTTTTGAAGAATTGAATGTTAAAAAATGTAAGTTATTTTTAGTCTTTTGATATGTAATCATTATTTTTTTTTAAGTACTTCTGTTGATAATGACTTTATATTTATTGTAATGTGTTTAATAGGGATAAATATGAAAAGATAAGGTTAGTTTGAAAATAGATAACTATTTTATTGGAGGGTAAGATTTAGTTTAAAATGCCATATATTTTTAAATAGAGGGAGTACAACTCCTCTAAATTTTGAATCATGTACAAATAACTTCTCTAATCTTTAAAACTTAATAATAAACCTCTTTAAGCTTTTACATTTATGCAAATAATCTCTAGCCATTAATTATATATACTCTTAAATTTTATTTTTGCATGCATTTAAGCCCCCAACTTTGATTAATATACAAATAACCACCAAATTTTAAGTTATATATAGATAATTAATGTATAAAATTAATCATATAGAGTTATTTGTATAAATATAAGAGTTGATGGCGGTTCATTGTAAAGTTTTAAAGATTAAAAAGGTTATGTATACTCCCTCTGTTTAAAATGTAAGGCATTTTTATTCGAATATGACCTTCAATAAAGTGGTTACTTATTTTCAAACTAACCCTATCTTTTTATATTTACTTTTATTAAATACCTTATAATAAATATAAAGTCATTATCAATAGGGACATTTAAAAAAAAAGATAATAATTACACTTCAAAAAATTAAAAATATTTTATATTTTTAAATATTTAATTTCTTAAAAAATATCTTATATTTTTAAACGAAAAAAATATATGATTTAAAGTTTAGAAAATAATATATAATTTAGTCCTGTCGTGGTCGTTGTAGTAGTTAATTAATTAAGCAACCATGAAACACCACAAGTGTACGATTATATGCTTAGTTAATTTATAAAAAATAAAAATCAAAATCATTATAGTCGTTGCTTGTTTGGCGTGCAATGTGCATACTGCATAGTCGTCGCCTGATTCGAAAGTGTCAATAAGATGATTTTTCAAAGTATGCTTCCTTCCTCCATCGACATCGCCAAGTTAATAACTACCACTAGCATCTTCAAGAGGCGTCATAAAACACAATTCAACTACACCTTGTCTCTCTCTCTCTCTCTCTCTCTGGTTTCTCCCTTTTCTTCCTTCTTCCCAGTCTTGTCAAGGTGGTGCTTTTCCTGCTTCCGATAGCTGCTTCTTAGGTTAGTTTCAGACTTTCATTCATATTTTACACCTAATATTTTGTTTTGTTACCCCTCAAGTATAGGTTTGTGTTCTGTTTTTATTTCTTTTTGGAAACTTGCAAGTGCTTTGGATTTGATTTCTTGAAACAAAGGATGATTTTCCTCTGCTGCTGTGGGCGGTTTTTGGCCAGTTGCTCTATCCCCCTTTTTCTCATGCTCTAAATTTTGTAATGGGGCCTTTAGACTTTGCTCGTTCTATTTCAGAATTTCAAACTTTCATGCTTAAACTCTTTGGGCAATGGAAAAGGGCATAAATAACCAGTGAAGAGAACTTCAATAACCAAAACTTAGGTTAAATAAACTAGAACAGCAGTCAAAGGCATAACCTGCATTTGGAACAGTGTTATGAAGCGCTTTTGGACTAAATTGGTGACTCTGTGAGAGAGAGAGCAATAACAAAATTCATCCCAATTCCATTACTCTGTCTCGTCGGCAAGAGATTTTCTAAGATCCTTAACCGCATTTTCTACTGTTGACTTGTTTTACATTGTACATTATGGCTTGGTTACATGAAGTCACATAGCGAATGTAGTTTAATTTCATTTTGCTTTTAATTCTTTTGGAATACACCTCTTTGAGGAGGTTATCCTCTTTCATTATGAGTGGACAATGGTAGAAAAATCAGAATTGGTCAGTCAGTTATTGCTTATTACTTTTTACATGTAATATCCCCTGTGACATACCACGGAATCCTTGGAGATTGTGCAGCTCTTATAAGATATGTATCGCTTGATTGTTCTTCGAGACGCTGACCCTTCCCAGTTCGATGGTTCAATCAGGTGGTCTTGGCAGTGGGTTAATTTGAAGCAATCGTTATCATTTGAAAGTGAAAACTGCTTCCTAGTAGCTGCTTTCATTCAGTCATGACTTCTTGTTTTTCTTCCTTATTTGGTAGGAAGGTTAGATCTTCAGTTATACGAGATCCTGAAATTGATGAAGGTAACTTAAAATAACTTTTTAAATACTTGATATTATCAGTATATAGTTATTATACTTTCTTAAAATTGATTTATGTTTTTTGTTTTTTTGCTAAAAAAATTGATTTGTATTTTAAGGACATGGGTGTATGCTTGAATTAAGGTACTCCCAGCATGATACATCGAACAAATACTACACGCATTATTAGATTTTGATTGCTCATATTTATGAACAGAATTATCAGGTGTTCACAATGTTATTCTTTATACCTACAAAGAACTAAGTACTGCCACTGAGGATTTCAGTCCAGCGAACAAAATTGGAGAGGGAGGCTTCGGTTCTGTCTATAAGGTGGCTGCACCACTTATAAGCCCATGATTTCAATTCTTGCTTGCATTCCCATAGCACAAAGTGCGAAAATTGATTTCTTCTACATTGTCTTGTGAATGAGATCTTAAGATAATTCTTTGGATGTCCAGGGAAAGCTAAAAGATGGAAAAATTGCTGCTATCAAAGTCCTTGCAGCTGAATCAAGACAAGGGGTGCAGGAATTCTTGACAGAGATCAAAGTGATCTCAGAAATAGAGCATGAAAATTTAGTTAAGTTATATGGCTGTTGTGTGGAAGGAAATCACAGAATATTAGTTTACAATTACCTCGAGAATAACAGTCTTGCACAAACTCTTCTAGGTGAATGCATTTTTTTTTTTTTAACTCATGAGTAGCTCCTGCTATTTTATCTGTCGATAGATTTTAATAAATGCTGACCTTATGCCCATTATTATTTTTTATTCAATGGCTCTATCCTCTTCACTTACAGGTGGACGTCAAAGCAATATTTTCTTCAATTGGCAAACACGATCTAGAATATGCATTGGGATTGCCCGTGGACTTGCTTTTCTTCATGAGGAAGTAAGACCACATATTGTTCATAGGGATATAAAAGCAAGCAATATTCTTCTTGACAAAGAACTTACACCAAAGATTTCAGATTTTGGACTTGCAAAGCTTATCCCACCAAACATGACTCATGTCAGTACACGTGTGGCAGGGACAATGTAAGTTCTATTTCTTTGAAACTTCATTTTCTTGATTTACACTCTACAGAAAGCTGGAGAATTTTTGCTGTTTAGTTTTTCCCGTGTCTTCATTATGCAAAGTAGCCGTCATGGTAGGAGGACTCAGTTTCTCCACATCAAGTTCCCAGCTTAAAACTAAGATCTCCCACTTTCACTAGGGTCTTAATAGTTAGTACTCCATATGCTTATTAACCAGAATTACATGCTATTTTGTTGGGAAAGAGTTTCTAGTTGACTACTGAAGTTAATTCATAGATTGATTTCATTTTATGTATGCGTTAATGGTTTCTGATCTCTCAGATGGGGTGGTCATAAAAGAGGATTGTACTTAATGATTAATTAATTAGTTATTAATTTAAATAATAGAGATGATATCATAATTGGTTAGTTTTGACACGAGGAACTGGTGCTGTTTTAGAATTTTTGTTCCAAAAAATGCAATTCTCACATTAACCTGATTGCTGAGGTGCACTTATGTATTCATGCAAGCATGCATATATATTTAGGATTGAATTATTACCTTTCCCTCTGCACGTGAAGAGGAGAGCTTCAATCCCCCACACAAATTATGTTTCATGTGCTATTTTCATTTCTTCTTTATTTTTTGAAACATAAGGAATTTATTGCTGTGTTTCCTTATTTCAGAGGTTATTTGGCACCAGAATATGCAGTCAGGGGGCAGGTGAATAGAAAAGCAGACATTTACAGTTTTGGTGTACTTCTTTTGGAGATTGTCAGCGGGAGATGCAATACAAATACACGATTACCAGAAGAAGAACAGTTCCTGCTAGAAAGAGTATGAATCCTTCTTTCCCCGTATTCCCAATCTTTTTGGCCCTTCTTTTTCCACTTCGAATCTTCGAATGCATATTTCACAAAAAGTGAACGCATGTATGCATGTAGAGAGAGATAGAGACAGATATGATGAGTGTTATGATGGAATTAAGCTCATGCACAATTATAGTCTTTTATAGTATTCTTCAAATGCATGAATGTAGCATATGTTCTTTTGGCTGTGAAAAGCATAGTTAGAAGAAAATAGAATAGATTTTTTTTCTTTGGTCATTGTTGATGAACTAAAGTTTTCAGATGTAAATCGCATTAAATGGTATTCGTTAAAAAGGGGGAAAAAACTGAACGGTCTGTCGCTTTTGTATTTGGGAGAGTGCTTATGAGTCATACAAGCTGCTTCTTTCCGATCCTTCAAGCTTTTAAATAATATTTGGCAGAGTGCTTTTATATGACATATCTCTGTTCTCACTTGTTGGTTTGACTATCTCTTACTCGAGTGATTTATATATCACTCTTGAATTTTGCATAAATTGCTGCTGTGCAATGAAGTGCTTATTGACAATGAAATTAGAAAATCAGGATCTGTCAATGGAAGATGTTACCTTAAATACTACAAGCCTGGTTCATAAATTTAGATTTTAGAATTAAACTAATTGTATCTTCTCAGAGATGCAATCAAGGAAACCCGCATTGTGATTGAACTTGTGCAACTGCAATCTATTCTGTATCATGTAAGATTTCAAGACCTGCTCTTATTTAAACTTTGCTGTTACAGACATGGAGATATTATCAGCAAAGGATATTGGTAGGGCTGGTAGACACATCACTCAATGGAGAATTCGACGCTGAGGAAGCTTGCAAGTTTCTGAAAGTTGGCCTTCTTTGCACTCAGGAAGTTCCGAAACTCCGGCCACCCATGTCTTCAGTGGTTAAGATGCTCACGGGAAAAATGGATGTCGACGACAGTAAGATAACAGAACCAGGCTTGATTTCTGACTTAATGGACCTCAAAGTTAAAGGAAAACCAAAAAATGAAGTTGATATGAAGACATTGTCTTCATATAATGCATCCTCGTCCTCGGACTTCCGGGACACTACAATGTCGTCGGCTGCTTCAACGGTTGCTACTACAACCTCTGCCGTGCGATATGATCATAGCATGTAAATGTCAGTCGCCAATGTTTTGTTCTTTCTAGATGATTTTCAAGGCTTTTGATGTCATGTAAATTTTGCACAGTTTTCCAAGTTTTTGGACGTGTTTTATTCTTTTGTGCAAACCCTCCGAGATCAGAAAGTTTCTCTCTGGAAGTACTACTGTATTGTAAATGGACAAGTGTTGCATTCACTGATGAATTTGAAGATTTCCCCTTGCCTTCCTTTTTTTCTCTGCGTATCCTGTGCTGGTTTGTCTCTGTCAGTCTCATGAACACAAATTCTTATCCACCATCATGACTTGTAAAAGTCCCAAGTAAATCATATCAATCATAAGGAGAAATATTGTGAATCTGTCTTTGACATGCTCGAGCATTTATTTCACAGTACAGTTAATTTATTTTTCTCAAGATTTTGTGTTCACTTGATCATTGAAATTTTGCTTGATGATCATTGCAAATAATTTTGCTTCCTTAGATTTTAAAGGAATCAAAGGAACATCTGAATTTGATTTGAAGAGTTATTATTTTATAAACTTAGTTAATTTTTTAAATTTTATTTTAAAAAATGAACAGTCTAAATTTGATTTTGATGATCCAGACCAGATTGCCCCATCTTATGCTCCAGATTCAAATTATAAAGCCAGATTTAGTTCATTCATGCTCTCAAAATTGCGGACTTCTTGGGGCCTTCGGAAAATAAAATTATTCAGAATTATAAACAAAGAAAATATCTAAATAAGCCACGAGGATGAATATATGGAGTAATTAGCAGGAAGCTTGAGAAAAAAAAAATCTATAAATGGCTTTTTTAGATTGAAGTAATAATACATGAGTTCAATGCTATGTTTGGATTGAGAAAAAATATGAAAGAAAAGAAAATATGAGAGAAAAATAGAGGGGAAAATAATTTTTTCCTTATTTAGATAAGGAAAGAAAAGTAGGAGAAAAAAATAAGGGAGAAAATAAAATGAGGGAGCCATAACATTCTCGTCCCAAATTTTCTCTCCACAAGGGGAGAGATTTTGGGGAGAAAAGTTTTGTTCCACTATCTGCCCTTATCTCACCTTCTTCTTCATTTCTGCGCAGGTTCTTGTCATGTTAATTTTCCATTGCTTGTCCAATTAAAGTTCTTATTGTGCTCCTTGAACTTTCGCCATTCGCTTATTTGGTTTTCCCCTTAAGTATTAGATTTGGGCGAATTGTCTTTTGTTTAGCGATTTCCACATTCATATTCATCATCATCATCATCATCATTATTTGCCAGCATTATTTTTCATTGTTGCAAATATATAGTCATGTTGAGTGAATTCTTTTTCCTGTTTCGCTTATTTTATCTGTTTTCTTGCCTAAGCATGTTCCTCCATATTACTATTGAATTCTCTATCAGTGTATTATATTTGCTTTTTTGTTTTTCATGATCTCATGGTGTTGAAGAGTTTTATTATATTTGGTTTTTGATTTTCATTAAATCATTGAAATTTTAAAATATAATAATATGAAAATACATTACAAATATTTTGATTTTAAATTAATATGATCATTTTTAATATAATTTCTACTTTCAATTTATTTTTATAAAGATAATTATATGAAACATAATAATTTTAATATAAGAGTATTATAGTCATTGTAATATTTGCTTATTTTGTTCTTCTCTATTTTTCATTTTTTATTCAAATACAAAGAATAACAATATTTTTTAAAATTTTCTCTTAGTGACGAGATCATGCAGAAAGAATTTAATATATTTTAAAGCAAGGTTATGAGTTTTTTTTTTTTTTGGACCAAATAGTAAGGTTATGAGTTTAAGTAATACAAAAATCAAATTGAAAAAGTTACCCTCATTAAGATTTGATAATATTTGAATTTTACATAACAATACCTAATAGTAGATAAAAAATGTAAAACCTATTTAAATAATCCTCAAAAACATGTTTAAATTATATTTGAGATATATTTTTATCAAAATTAATGAATAGTTATATTTCCTAAATATATTTTTATCAAATATAAATTAAAAATAAAATACACGCATATATTTGCATGAATACGTCCATTCTCTGATATATATATATATATATATATATCAATATTGGAAATTAAATATCGATGACTCCGAAGATGGACAATTAAAGAAACAAGGATTTGCCAGGAGTCGCCCAAAAAAAGAAAAAGTAGGAAAACCCGAGTCCTAAAAGTGGATGACAAACCAGGCCTAAAAAAGGTGGATGAGATGACATAACTGTGCTTTTAAAGTCACATTAACAAAATTGTGGAGATTCTTTTTTTTGTATTTTTGTCTTAAGGCCACAAGTTCTAAATGCAGAATGCTTCCACCATGGGAGAATAATAAATTGATTAGATTCTTCTACTTCCCATGGGAATTTTTCATTCGCAACTAACAAATCACTTTGCTTTTAAAATTTAAAATTCATGAATTTTTGGGAGATTCTTCATGAAAAGCAATTAATCAACTGATTTTTTTTTTTTTGGGTTCAATGTAACTCTTATAGGGAGCGTTTGAATCTTTGCTCTTTACCTGCAATGAATAACTGCAAACATGAATAACGCTAAAAATATTTTGATTGAGAGTAAAATGCAACGACTTTCTTTCAAAATTTGTTAAAACTGCATTGATTTCCTTTCTATTTTCAAAATCTACACTTCAGTTTATTTTTTAATATTGCTGAAAATATTCTACTTAACATTCTAAAATATTTTATTTTATATGTTTTAAAAATAAAAAGAAGATCTCTATAATTAAAATAAAATAGAGAGAAAGTTGGAGTATTTTGTTCTTTAATTAAACAACGCTCTTTAAACCAAGAAGAGTCCAGCAGAGCTAGGACGTTTTGGTAAAAAAAAAAAAATTGAATAATTAACTCTAATCGCATAGTACAACATACATGCATTTGTTTATTGGATTTAATTCACCGTGAATGGATTTTCAAGTTATACATAATAAATGGTTGAGTTGTATCTATTCTTAATAACAATAAAAATTTTATTTATTATGCAAGCATGTTATGATCAATATGATGTTTCAAATCAATATCACTAGTCAATGGTTAATTATGTGAGTGGAACATTTTTGGGTAAACTTCACGTAATCCTTCAGTACATTACAGGATCTAATTATATTATTAGTCATTTGTAAATAACGCATTTTTTATAATTTTATATCCTATCAAATAACATCAAAATTTATAAATAGTAAGAGTTTTCACTTGGTGTTGGTGAAAAAAAGTATGCCTGCTAAAGATAAGAAACTAAAATGTAATGAATTCATGGTACAAATTTTACTGATTAAGTTTTCAAAGATTTGCTTTGTAATGAATGCGTTTAATTAATATTAGTATGAATATATTTATTTTTTGTCAGCAATGCGACATGTAAAAATGACTCACTAGAGTAATTTTTATGAAGTAATCACTGTATTTTTTAGCACAGAAGTAATCATTGTATTCAGTCAAATTGATAAAATGATAAGTGACAGCATACAAGCAGTATAAACTTTTTTTTTTTTTGCATACATTTGGTTTATCATATCATTCATGATCTATCTAATAAAATCACACCACTTCAATTAAATAAAATTTTATTTATAATTATTTTTAATATTTTTATTTTTGGAATAAAATAATTGTTTAATTTTTTTAATTTTTCTCTCTCTATCATCATTAATGTTATAATCAATTTATAGTTATGACATGATATATTTTTATTGGATAAAGGATAAATGATATAGTGCATAAGATCTATGTAAGGATTTCTCATATATAATAATGATTCAATTTGAACCAGAAAATTATCAAAGTATTTATTGAGTATTAACATATTATATAAAATTTATAATAACTCGAATGGATAATATAAAACATCCAATTTGATGCAAAATTATTAAGTTATGCTAAATTTGATCCAATAATTTTTTCCTTAAAATATTTTATTTTTTATTTATTCTTATTCAGTTATACTCATACCTTTTTTTTTTTGTATAACTAGACAAGTTAATATGTACAATAAAACGAAACATAACCAAATGAGCCTTTAGGACAGAAACTAAACGACTAAACACATAATGAAAAATAAGAAACAGCAGAAAAAATTAAACTGAGGATTCAAGAAAGACTCTGAAAAAAGAAGGTCAATACTGCCAATTTTCGACATGCACAGATAATGAGATTGGGCGCTCACATTGTAGTAATAGGTGACTGGTCAAAAAACTAGTACATCATGAAATTTTAAAAGCACCGTGAGCGATTAGAACAGATTTTTTTTCATTTTGTTTAGAGATATCTTGTAGGACTTGACAAACCAAAAAATAAAACAGTTTTAGTTTTGAAAAGAAATTATCTATATGAGCTAGAATCTAGCAACGAAAAAGTAAGCAAACCAAGACACAGATTAAAAAAAAACATAAACAAGACACAAAAAACATAAAACAAGACTTGAAACACTCCAAAAAAGAAAATACTAAATGATTTCCTTCACACCCTTTATTTTTAATTTTATATTCATATTATCTATTTAGTTTTAAGCATCGGTGAAAATGTCATCTAGAAGCAACAAAGTGTAAACTGGTTCTAAGTCGAGCAAAATAATGTCAAGCAACAAAATTCAATGGCAGGTTTTTGGTCCCACACCATCATTATTAGACAACCATCCAGCCTTAATCCCCAAAGCAAAAGGGGAAAAAAAAAATTATTGAATGATGTCAAATCTCTCTTCCCTCTCTCTCTCCACCTATCTAATATCCACCTATCTCTCTCTTTCCTCACTCCTCTCCCTGTTGGGAAGCCTTCACTCTACTCATCCCCCTTGAAAAAACTTTTTGAAACTTTCTCTTTTTCACGGGCAATCGCTGAACTAGAGAGAGCCAATGTTTCTGGTTTCTACCCTCATCCAAAGGAAAGATTCTCCGCATTGCCCTTTAGGAATCCCTTAAAGTTTCTTTCCCATTCTATCTGAAGACGACCCATTTCGACTGGCGGTGCTTGAAGTTTCGCGCTTCTCTCTCTCTGCCATTTGATATTTAGGGTTTCCATGGCTCCTGGCTTGTCTTCAAGTTCTTTCCTTTTATGGCCCCCCTTTTCCAGTGCTGGGTTTGTTGGAACTGATTGAGTGAGGGGTCATGTTTCTTTGGTTACTGCTGGCCTGAGATTTTGTTTCTTTGGTTTATAAAAGAGGGATACATTGTTGTCAAAAAGGGGGATTATTTATTGCCTTGTGTTTAGCACTTTTGTGACAGTAGCTGCTTTTTGGAAGCTTATTGGCGAAGCAATTTGCCTTTGAATGAACGTGATTGTATTTAGTTCTCTCGTGGACTGAATACTAGTCTGTTTTGATCCCATTTCTTTATGCATTTGGAGCTCTTCTTCTGGAGAATCCCGTGATTGGCTACAAGTGCTGGTTAATTTATTAATTTATTTTGTATTTTTCCCCAGTGCAGAACTTGGGCAGATCAAGGTTCCCTCCAATTTTAATTTTATTTTCTTTTATGGGTAGCATTGGTGATTTAGCGTCACAATGGCTGAGATATATGTGTTGTCGGATTCATGGTGATCGGTATCCATAACATCTCTTTGAGACGAGGTTTAACTACCAGTCATAGACAGTGCCTTCTAGTTTCTGGGTCTATGAGAAGGTTTTGGTGATGGAGGATATAGGGTTGTTCAAACAAGGTTGGCAATGGCTTCGATCGCAGAAGGATGCTTACTGGCGCGCCCGAACTGCAGTGAGTTGTTATAGGGACAAAACTGCCATGTTCATCGAGCAACATTGGCCGTTAGTATGCAGTGCATGCTTCAGATTGGGGAGTATTCTTCGCCTATCGTTGCTTTATTGGAAAGACTGTTTTGTAAGGGGTTTTCAGTCGTTCCTCAAGTTGGGTCCAGCCATTCTTCTCCTCATAATGTGGTGTTGTCTTCTTAGTTTGACCTCGATGCATTGCTTGATTTATGTACTTATTAGCATGGTATGTATTAATTCATACCATAATGCCTAAATCCAGCATTGCTGATCTCTGATCTCTGTTCTTGTTTCTAATATTTGGGCATCTGCTTTAGCTTTTAGCTGTTAATAATGCTGTTGTTATTAATTTCACTTTGATTGCATTTTATAATGGTGATAGATTGGGTGATACTTTATTACAATAATGCGTTTTTACTGCTTATAGTGTTGGAATACTCCATCAGAAATTTTTGTAAAGAGTCTGAGAATAAAATTGGAAGAATTTCGCTTAGATAAGGAAATTGGACACTTCTTTTTTAAATATAAATTGGGAGGTCGGAGAACTTTAAATGTTGTGCAAGATGTGGACCTGCCATTTACTGCAGTCACCCACAAAGTTTGCTTCAGGTTGTTGAGTAGATCTTAATGTCATTTACATCAACAGAACTTTAATTACATTGATTTTAATTGCTCTCTAGGGAATATACGTTTGTTGTATTTGTCTTGGGGCTTTCCTCTTTTTCTCTTTACGCTTTTTTGACAAGTTTCTTTTTCAATTACAAATAGTGTTGAGTCTATGCATTCTTATTTGGGAGTTATATTTACTCAAACATTTCCATTTTGGGTTGAAAGCGTTCAAACTTCAGTACTTGGTCTACCTGACCTCAAGGTGGCCTTTTCTGGGACTACTTTCTGGTCCATTAAGTGAAGATTATTAGTCATAACATTCATCTAGATTGCTGAAATGTATTTTTTTCATTTTAAAGTTGCTGCAAATGTTGTCCTTCATGTCCTCCACTTTATAAAAGAACCCACGTCCCTGTTTCAAATGTACTTGTAACCTTTAATTAGTTGAGTCTGTTATTTTTTGTCTTAAAAGAAATATTCTACACATTATTTTTAAAAAATTCAATGGAAAACTTTTGCGTGAGATTCTTTTGTTAGGTGGTGGAAAGTTTTCATGACTGTTCCTTAGTCTTGCTTATAGTGACACCATGATTTCAGTACTTTTGTGATACTGGAACTATATGGCATATATGGAGATTGAACATTTATATGAGCATAGTAAGCTCAATGTACCATGCGCTTTATTGGGTTATATTGCCACATAATTTATGGAGTAAATTTTATAATTTTTACTCATAGTTCAATTGAACGCTTCAGGGTGTTGCTGGAGCTGCTGTCCAGTATTTGGGTTATACTCCTGGAGTCTTCATTGTAGGGCTTTTTGCTATCCTTATCTTGTGGATGTATGCTAACTTCTGGATAACGGGATCATTGCTTATTGTTGGAGGTATGTTATTCTTTACTCACCTTGGATTTTAAGATGCATTCGTCTAATGACATGGAAAATAGGCGTGAGGATACATGGATGATGTTTTATGGTCTTAAAGTATTCATTTTTACTATTGTGTGCTCACAGTTGCATTGCTTGATGCCATTTCCTCATATGATTATATTTTTTCACTAAATGTATGCATTACTCACATCTGAAATGTGATTTTTGGCAGTGATTTGCATAACATTGAGTTCTTAGCTGTTTGTATTCTTGCTTTTGTAATATACAAATGCAGGTTATTTATTCTCCCTAAATCATGCACGCTTGGTGGTACTAATGGCAACTGTGTATGCTTTATATTGTGTCAAAGTTCGAGTGGGATGGCTCGGTGTTTTTCTCTGTGTAAACCTTGCATTCTTGTCCAATGACATTTTGAATTTCCTGCTTCAATGGTTTGATAATGTGAGTGAAAGCAGCTCACATTCTGAGGATCAGAAACAATCAGAAACAGTTCTGGGAGATGACTTTACTGAAGAATGTGAATATTCTATTCCTACTGCTGAATCTGAAAATTCGCATTCTTGTAAATCATCCAGCAAACCGGCTGTTACCACTTCAGTTGTTGAAAATCAGAAAGCGTTTCCTGCTAGCAAAGTGGTGAAAGTACAAGCAGATTCTGTTGATGAAATGAGAAGAATATTGAATAGTCTGGATCATTATGACGCGCTTGGATTTCCCCGTCACAAGAAAGTTGATGCAGCAATTTTGAAAAAGGAATACCGGAAAAAGGTACATGTTGATTATTTATTTATTTCTTTTCAGGTAAAAAGAATCCTATTTTTATTTCTCTCCACCATTCTTAAGTTTTTCATTAATGCCAAAGCAAGCTTGCCTAACTAGTGCTACGTGATGATGTTGTGGAATCACATTGACCTGAGCTATGCTGTGTTTGCTCACTTATACATGTTCTAATATTTTATATGGAATAACTCGTTTTTAAATTTAGTTCTATACTGATGCAGGCAATGCTTGTTCATCCTGATAAGAATATGGGCAGTCCACTGGCAAGTGAGTCATTTAAGAAGCTTCAATGCGCATATGAGGTAGAGTTTTAATCTAAGCACTGGCTTCACTTTGCAACCTTCTCTTGGAGTTGAAAGATAAACATAAAAGAATTTCTGTTAGTGGTTTTCACCATTCACTAGATATTTTAAATGTTCAGGTTCTTTCTGATACCGCAAGGAAGAGAGACTATGATGAACAATTGAGGAAAGAGGAATTCAGGGCTAAAAGTGTCTGCCAGAAATCCTATGGTGCTTCACGTCAGGTAAATATGATGGTTGCCTTATACTTGATTTTAACATCCTCTTAGTTTTTTATATTTTTACCAGGCAAATATTCTGGTTATTCTAGTTTTGATTTGTGAAGTGAAGGGAGTTTTGATTTATTTCCTTTACTCTATGGTTTTTATTTTTCTGTACTTTTATAGTTTATATATATATATTTGGTTAAAAATTAAAATAGTTGGTTCAATATATTTATTAAGTTGAACCACTGGTCTTATCCCCTGACTGGTTCCTATAACTAAGACTAAATGTTGATGGATTTTGTGATATGTTAGAATGGGAAAGAATAACAATTACCTAGGTAGGGATGGCATGAACATGGTTACCTGGGGAACCATAGACTACAGATCATTGTTGAATTGACTTCATTGGAAAAAAAAAATATGCTGGTCTAGTGGGTAAGACTTGTGGAAACAGCCTCTTGCAAAAATGCAGGGTAAAGCTGTGTACTATAGACTCAAAGTGGGTCCAAACCTCCCTAAACCACATGCATAGCTGGAGCTAGTGCATTGCGTTGTCCCTTATAGCGAGTAAGACTCATGAGTGGGCCAATTTTATAGTTTGATTAGCAAAGCCATCCTTTCCTTATGATTCACTCCCTTTAGGACAAAGCTAATATAGAATTCTGAGGGCACTTAGGTTGCTGAGGAACTTCACTAGTAAGGTAGTGATTCTGCTGGCAATCCTTGCAGGACAATTCTGATTATCGCTCTGAAGAATCCAGGCATATACAGTGCACCAAGTGTGGCAATTCACATATATGGGTATGCACTAATAGAATTAAGTCGAAGGCAAGATGGTGTCAGGTTAGATTTCTTTTTACTACATTCTGTTTATTGAATTCTTTCTCTTTCCATCTTTCTTTAGCTTGCTTGCTCTCTGTTTTTTTTTTTTTTTTAATTGAATATTGATTATATCCACTTTGGGAGCAGGACTGCCGTCAGTATCATCAAGCCAAGGACGGAGATGGATGGGTTGAGTACAAAGGTTCTCTGGCTTTTGAGAGGGCTCAAAAGGTAATTACTTCATAGCAAGTTTTGTTGTCTGCTTCATTTTCTTCAACATGCATGGCATTTTGCTGAATGTGGTCTCTTGCCTTGTTAGATGGAGATTCCACGTGCTTTTGTTTGTGCTGAGAGCAAGATCTTTGATGTGTCAGAATGGGCCATTTGTCAGGTCAGTTGTCTCTACTATCATAATTTATTGTGCTAATGTAATGCTCTTTCACCTGATTTAGTGCTTCTGAATCATCAAAAGACATGTAGACCATGCTAATGTGCATTTGCGGGGTTTACTTGGGTAAGGATTAAGTGCTTGTTTGGTTTTTTGTTAGTTAAAAGTCAGTTTAATAAAAGTTAATTGTTGTAACGAAATTTGTGTCAAGATATATTTTTTTGAAAAGTTAGTTTGGTAAACTGGAAATTGTTTGGATTATATATAGTGAAATGTGATTTTGAATATACAATTACCAAAATAGGCAGTGATCTACGATGGTTTATAATTTTTGTTATACAAATATAATATATTGAAAATGTTTAAAAACATGATAAAAATTTTAAATAAGATAAAATTTGATATGTTAAATAATAAGAATTAAGAAAATGTAAAGTTTGATATATTGAAAATATATATATATATATATAACAAATAGTTCAGATATTATATGTATACAAAGAAAATAAAAATCATAATTATTCTCCCCAAAATATTATTATTTCAATTGTTAAAATGTCTAAATATATCTGAATGCAAGCTTGGATATTCTCAATTTCTCATGTTATTTACTCATGTTATTTAATTAAGAAATATACATGGAGGACTCTGACAATTAAAAAAAAATAAAAAATCAAAAGGCTAAACATGAATAAGGGTAAAAAAAGGATTTGTCATCCTGTGTGGCATGTGCTTTTCTAAGGGGTAATATAGAAAAATAATAAGGCAGTTAACCTTCATTTGCTAAGTCGGTTTGAAAGCTAGGAAGAGTTAAGTTGGCTGAATGTGGATTGAGTAGCACTCTCAAACTACTACTTTCCAAGATCCACTTTCATTTCATGATTTTTTCCCAAACAGCTTTTAACTTTTGGGAAGTGCCAAAAGTACTTCCCAAAAGTTAAAAACTAGTTGCCCAAGCACACCCTAAGATGTTAAGTACTGAAAATGAGCGAGAGTCATTGTATGCTTAAATGATCAGGGATGGAATAAAAATCTTGTGGCTTCCATTTGCAGTCTGCTTTTGTCAAATAAAACTGGGAATTTTAATCATTTTATCTTTCTTCTTCTCCGCTAAACATGAGCAAGTGGAGATCAAAATTTGTATTCACCTTTTCATAAATTTCTGCCTCTTCTAGAAAGTTCACATCAAAGCCACATCTGATAAAAACGGAGATGCTGATGTGTTTAAGATGACATGTCAGATTTACTGTATACCCTTTGCAATTGATTGGGTTACATTCTTGCAGCATCCGAATTATTGGTTATCATTTCATCATAGAGAGAGCTGAGTCTTTGGAACCCGGGGATTCCTTGATTAGTCCATAGTCGAGAATTCTTTTTAGAACCTTTGATTGAAGCAAATATGTGGACACCTGTTGCTTTCTGTTGCAATCCTCTCCACAAGGGTTGGTTCAATTGTTGAAAAGGATCTTGAACTTAAAGGATGGCTTGTTCTTTTTTCATGCAGGGAATGGCTTGTAGGCCGAATACCCATCGACCGAGCTTCCATGTGAACATGGTTGGCCTGGAGAAAAGCCCGCGATGTAACTCCAGCCGATATCCGTGGGATTTGGATGCTGAAATGATGCTTGACGAAGATGAAGAGTTTGAGCTGTGGTTTCAGCAGGCTCTTGCCTCTGGCCTCTTCTGTGAGACCTCCAAACGCCGGAAGAGCTGGAGTCCATTCAAATTGCATCAGAAGAAAGCGAAGAAGCAGTGGCGAAGAACATCATGCTGAAATCCCTTGATGCGATAATTGTTTAGTTTATTGGCCATCTCCTGGGGAATGATGAAGCAAACATCTTGTGGAATCAAGAGATGGGTTTCATGATGATGACGAGCTTGCAAATTTAATCAACGTTGCTGAGAGGGGTGGTAAGGTTAAATGCTTCATAGTTGAGACCAGAAGATCTAACCATTTCCCAAATCCCTGTAATGCAAGGCATTCAAATACGGAAAGCCTCTTTGCGTCCTTAGGTTCAGAATACCAAAAATCATAAGCTAGTTTTGTGGGGACTACTTTGGTCCTTTGTATATTACTTGCTAAGTTGCTAATAAAAATTTCTCACTTGCCTTCTGACTTGGATTATCAGCATTCATTTTATAGCTCACTTCTTTTTGTTTATTGAGGTAGCATTCATTTATCCATTGTCGTAGTGATGGTTAGTTCTGGTTGATCAGAAATTCAGGATGCATCAGCAAAATGTTGACCAAGTTAAAAAGGAAATACCAGCAGTTTTGAGTTTTGCATCAATTTTTAGCTGCTTCTTGTTTATCTACCCATGTGGAAATGGTAATGAAAACAAATATTTTTGCTGCCTAAACTTATGAAACTAAAACTAGAGTGATTAATCGGAAAATTTTGTACAGAAGCTAATGGAAAAGACTATTTAAAGCTTTAATAGTAAATGATATTGGGAGAGTTTGAATAAAAATTCTTTCACTGTACTTATTTAAATTCAAAACTCTTAAATTTTTAAAATTACACTGCAATGTGGGAGGACTAATTTGATATTAAATTTACAAAGAAAATGACAAAATTGTCACTTATTTAGACTGACATAAGAACTTTCCTAATATATTTGTTCATTGTCCCATTTCACTTGTTAATTAACATGAGGAATGCTGTTAATTCTTGTACTTGTTTTCATTTTTAAGTTATCTTAAGATAACATATTGATTCTTATATTATATATTGTTTATTTATTTATAAACTGTTGTTTATTACCCATACTTTACTTATTCATTATTAAACTTTCACTTAATTTTAATTTAAAAAAAATGAATAAGTGAAATAGGACAATTAATAAATGAAATAAGATACTTTTGACATTAATTTAAATGAAAAGAAATTTTATTATTTTTTTAAAATTTAATATCAAATTAATATTCTTAAACTGCAATACAATTATAACAATTAAAAGTTTTGAATTTAAATAAATGTAATATGGGGTGAAATTCTCCCAATAATATTCTAAGACTGCACGGTTATAGTAAATAATATCCCATCATCATATACTGATTTTTTTTTTAAAAAAAACTACGCATATGTTGCGATAGAGGAAAAAGCAGATATCGGCATGTATCTTCTTATTAGAGGTTGTCAGTGTTAAAAAAACAGAGAATATATTTTTAAGTATAGCAAACATAAAATAAAAAAATCAATAAAATATATGTACATGAATAGACACTTACTTAAAAAGTATATAAATATATAAAATTATTTTATTTTTTGGACCACGCAGATGGCCAGATCTAGAGAAAAAATGTCAGAGAGTAGCATTTAAAAAACATAATCCAAAAAGAGTACCCTGCAATAATAAATAATTGAAAAGAAAAATGCTAAAATCAAGATCTCGGATTCAATCTTATATAATCAACTAATCAAGAAACGAAAGAAAATCTGAAATTAAATAGGTTAAGACAACGAAGAGAAGGACGAGCAAGGAAGAAGAGGACCGACTACAGAGAAGTGAACATCGGCCCATTGCCCATCGTTCGGTGCTCCGCTGATCACGGTTGTGCCCCTACTGCTCCGGTGAGTTCTTCATGCTTGGATCTGTTATTTCAGTTTTACTTTCTTCTTCTCGTGATTATTGATCTTCAACTGATTTAATTATTTTTCTTGCCGTCGCTACCTATGATGCTTTTGTTTCACCCCATGATCAATCCGATATCGGTGAATACCATTTTAATTTGACATATTATTTTCAATAACTAAATCTTTTAACGGGGTCGTCGATTTGAAAACCATGGTACGTGTTGTTGAGCTCCAACATATATTTTAATGATGGACATCGCGTTTTTCTTGGACGAACAAAATACTGGAATATTAGCTGACTTGGTTGGTGTGATGCTCATTGAGCTTTTCGACTTTGTAATGATTAAACAATTATGCCATTTTGGGTTGTTGCCCGTTCATATTTTAACTTCTTGGGAGACTATTAATGAATACTTTAGCTGCTGAAGTTCCTTGAGGAAGGGCTGTCTATCAGACATTCTCCTTGTGAGGCGTGGTGTCACTGAGTTTTCTTATTTGCATTTTGCCAAGGATAAGCTATTGTTACTGTTTCTTTGTGAACTTCTATTAATATGTCTTATCTTTTCTATGCTGTGTGCACGACAGTCATGATTTTTCAAAGCACTTCTTTCCAGTTGATGCAGATATAGGCAAAATGTTTAAAATAGGGATTTGCCCCCTTCAGTTCAAGATGAATGAATTGGGGAAAAAAGAGGAGGGGGGTTTGTTTGAGTCAATATACAGAACTTCTATATCACAACTAGTCTAAGCTTCTTTATAATTTGGTATCTTGGAGAGGTTTGGATAATAATCGTTTGAAGTGGATGCTTATTTTCTTGTCTGCCGTGCTGGCAGGACACCAAATTATTTGTTTTTTTTTTAGATGTGCAATTTTCTTATTTCCTGGTAGATGCTTGTTTGATTGTTGCTTATGGGTCTTGCTAGTGCAACATTTTGCATATTTTTTCTTTTGATACCATTCAGAAATGATTTACTGTCATTTCTATTTTGGTCTACTCATCTAGTTCTATCTACAACCTAAGCCTCCTAGTTGATTTGGACTGGGAGCTGCCAATGCTTGCTTGTTAGCTCTTGCTCATATCTTCTATCCTGAAACTTTTTATGAAGAGTATTGATGTTGCCTTGCATTATAACAACAGTTGATCAAATTCCTCTTTATGAGGGAAATGCATGAATAAATAATAGCATTTGCTGAGATTATTAAAAAAAAAAAAAGCATTTGCTGATGGTTTTGAACTTTGAAAGATTGTGCTAATTGTCAATAAAGTCCGACTCTTATTCACAGCTTTGGCATTTCATAATGTTGGACATTATGTACTGAATTGGCCTCTTTTTATTCCAGCCACAGCTTGCTTGCAAAAGATCCTATGTCTAGTGTGGAGGATAACAAAGAACAAGGACAGATGGATGTAAATACATCTAATGAGGCCATGCCATCAACCAAGGAGCAGGTTGTTCTTAAAAATTGTCTTCTTGTATGCTTTAGTGAAAATTCAATTGGCTGGCACCACCTTTTATTGCAAGGATTTCTGGTAACATTTTTTTTTTTTTTTGACTTGTTGAGTTCCTGAATATTGAAGGAGGAAGTTATAAAGAAAAAATATGGAGGACTTCTGCCTAAAAAGCAACCACTTATATCAAAGGTACATTGTATTGGTGTCCGTATGTGCATATTATATTAGCTTTTATCATATAAAAATTTTTCTATTATATCTGGTGTTGTTTGCTCTTATCCTTTTGGCTTGACATTTTGCTTTTTTGCTCCAGGACCATGAACGTGCCTACTTTGATTCTGCTGATTGGGCGCTTGGAAAGGTATTTCTATGAGGAAATCTCTAAATGTGATTGCATTGTAGCTGTATATCCATGTATTGATTTTTCTTACACTCTTCTGTGCCTTGAAACAGCAAGGAGGTGAAAAGCCCAAGGGACCACTTGAGGCTTTACGGCCAAAGTTACAGGTATTTAATCAATATTATTATGATTGTATGAATAGTCTTGCTGCTTTCTGAAGCTGATAACAGTTGCTTCTTTTTTTATTGTCACTTTGTTCTTCTGTTCTGTAATTGGCATGCTATTCAGCGATTCTGCGATTGGTGGTCTTTGACATTGTTGAAATATGTATTCTGTTAAATTGTTACTTGCAAGTTGCATTAGTAGCATGAGGGTTTTTGTGCCTTTTTAATCTTTTATCTGCGGAAAGATTCCAGTTTAGAGAGAGAGAGAGAGAGAGAGAGAGCAATTAACTGTCTCAAAGCAACTGAGCTCACAGTAGTATCAGATGATTATGTTGAAGATTAAATGTTTATTCGACTATTTTGTTATGGGTAATATTTGTTTTTTTTTTACCAGCAGTAGCTCTTGATATACTGCCAACTATTATGGCTCAGCGCCTCCCATTCTTCAACATTATTGACTGCTGAGTATATCAAATAATATAGTGGAAAAATCTAGGCGAAGTTTCAACTTTTAAGATGTTTGTTAAAAATAAATACGTAATTTGTGGAGAAATTTTTTTAGGAGATCCAATCGTGTGCAAAGTTATAAATTTTTTATATTGTATTGTATTTTCATTAGAAAACTTGATTGATAGAAATTTAAACGCTATCTAGACTCTAGAGTGTGTCCCAAAACACAATTGGATAAAATCAGGGGTCATTAGTTGGATTGAGGTGTCGTGTGATGTCTTTTGTTGAAAGACTTGTACGGCTTTACTGCCATTTCCTCAAAATGTGAATAACCGGTTTTCTGTCTGGCAATTCTGCATTTTCAGCCAACACAGCAGCAAACGCGTTACAGGAAATCTTTTTGTGCTCCTTCAGGAGAAGGTATGCCTTTTCTTCTGAATTGTTTACTTCATTCTGTAGAATGCTCTTTCTCTTCTTGATAGCTTCTTCAGGGAAGTGAACAAAATTCTGATCTGTCCTCTGCCTTTTGTAGAAGGAGGAAGTGTTCCATCAGTGGATGCGCCTTCCAACGAGTAAGCAGTCCGTCTTTTGATGATCTGCTGAGTATTATTCTGACACCATTTAGTTGTTTCCAACAATAAGTTGTTCATGTTTCTTAGTAGCATAAGACAACTGAATCTAGCCTGCTGCTCTGTTGTAGACTCTTATTGAACTATGATTCTTATGATTTATGGTTACATCCCTTTATCTTTTACTCCTGATAATTCAGTAACAAACTAATATTATCGGGTTGATGTGGAAAAGAAAAATGGGTCTAACATCATTGTGAGAATGTAATCCTAAGATAACCTAAAAGAGTTAATTTTTTTTTTTTAAAGTACAAGTATTTGATATCTAACACTATGAATTATATTGGAGTGGGGGTCCTCACTTTGAGAAATATTACAAGTAAGGTATTTAAATTTATAACTTTGCATCACTTCCTTTGATAATTTGCATCCTTTAAACTGAATAAAAAAATTATTAGTTTAAATGCTTATCAGATATATTTAATAATTTATATAAGATATAAATAGGATATTTACATAAAGATCGTATCAATAATTTTTTTAAAAAATGATAATTAATTTGTTTATGTTATTCTACTTTTAGTCCTATATTGAATTTATTATTTTTAATTATTAAATTATTTTTTAAAAAAATGTTAATTTTTTAAATTTATCCTGTATCTCTTGGCTTCGGGTCCTGTCCCTGTTGCTGTCGGTGAGAATAGTTTTCACTGTTTTCAATCCACAATTTAAATCCTTGATCTTGTTTATAATTTAATTTACATTTGGTTCTTTTTTACTCAATTCAATTATCTGATAGTCAAAAAAAGAAACGTGTTCGACAAAATTAGATGACGACCGCATACCACGCATAGAATAATGTATGAGAATGACATGATTCAGTTCACAATAATTGTTTTGGAATTAAGAGTGTGTTTGGAAATTTTATGATGGGAAGGAATGATTTTTACATGATTATTTTTTAAAAATTATTATAAAAAGGATGGAATGGAAAGATTTTAAAAGTTATTTTTGCCAATATTACTTATATATGTCTAAATTTAAAAAAATAATAATGCCAATTAAATAATATTTATGCAACATTAAATAATTATATTTATTAAAAGTTATTATAAAATATATTTTTTAATAATTTTGTAAACATTTTTTTATTATATAATTTTTAAATCTCTTTCAAAATTTAAATTTATTTTAACTTATATTATACTAAAAATAGTTGACTGTTGTTGTTCATTTGAACTTTTAAAAATTACTACTTTTGGTTCTAATCTTAGTTTCATGAAGAATATATTTTCAATATAATAATACTTTTGGGTCAATCAAGCTAGTTGATGTCCAAGGGCATTGGTGATTCCTAGCCAACCCTGCTTGTGTGTTGAACTCTAGTAAAAAGTGAGAGAATGATTGAAAAATAAAAATAACATATAATTTTATTTTTTACTAAGATAGGAGGTTGGGGTAATTTTATAAATGAAAAATATTATGTTATGTCACTCCATCCTTGACTTATCAATTTGCAGAGACAAAAATATTGAGTTATAAATGACAAATGAGGGCTCAGAGGTTCTTTCTTGTCATTTCATCATCATTCTTTAAAAAAAAATTGACAAATAATGGTTTAGACTGTTTAACTATCCCACTCCATTTTATTTTACCCTAAAAAATATTTCAACATAGTGTAAGAATAAGATAGGTTGATTAGCTCCCACAATAGATGTATAAATGATTGTATAACTTACAATTTCAAAAATATTATAAAATTCAAAGTATTAAAAACTAAATTAGTCAAGATAATATTTTAAAAAGTCAGCGGTACAATTTGATTAGGTCAAGGTCTACTAAATCATAATTAAAATAATAATAATCAATTAAAAAAATATAAAAATATTTGGTATAAAGGAATGACATTCAAATGAAAAGGTATTAATTCACAAGTAAGTAAAAG